TCCAAAACCAGGTGACAAGAGGAGGAACCTTCCCAGTGTGTGTGGTCATTCTGGTCCCAATTTTCCTGTGTGCTTATCCACTCGTATTAACAACTTCGAGGTGACGCTTTAGTAATCAGGTGTTCATATAATTAACACTACCACCAGGAGCAGTCCTTATGAATTCACTAAATGCAGGTTAGGAGGGAGGTGCAGATACTCTGCACGTAGCCCCCAAAGTCATGGTTAAGAAGAACACTTTTAAAAAGCATGGTGCATCTCTTTAGGCCCTCATAATGTGAACTACTGTCTACCATTTTTTTTCCCTAGGGCTTGTTAACTGCTAGCAGACCTGGCTCATGATCTTTCCACCATGCCTTTTGGATCCCTTCATTGCCTCTCTTGTAACAAACATAAGCTTTTGTATCTGTATTTTCAATGCTCTCAATAGCCTGCTTCCCCCTTATCTATTTTCTGTCACTATAAAAAAAAATTAATGACAATTTGATTAGGCTTCTGTAGTTCACCTGCTGCTTTTTCAAACATCTTTGTGCTTTCTTCCATGCTGCTCTTCTTGTTGAGTTTTCTTTCAACAGCCACAAAACCGATTAATTTTCTTCATCAAATCCCACCTCATGTCTTCTTTGCCATGAAGTACACACAGAAACAAGAGTTCTGCTGATGGTGTGTTGCAAACTGTGCCTTACTGGCTGATCAATACAGTCTCATTGTTTCCCTCATCTGTCTGTAGCCATCTGCTGTCTTTTGTCTTATACTTTTGAGCTCTTAGGGCAGGAATTATCTTTTTGCCCTATATTTCTATACAATATATCACCATAATCATAGTCCAGGATTAAGGCTGCTAGATAACATGTTAATACAAATAAATTATAACAATGGCAAAATTTGCCATTCAAACTTCTTTGCTTTTTTTTTTTTTTTTTAATCTAAGGCTTAGAAATATGAGGTGGTTCAGGAGAAACATCACCAATTTCACTGCTTTTTCAGTGGCTCTGAAAAAGGTTTAGAACAGCAGTAGTTGGGAATATTAATTCTTGTAATACAGGGCTGGATCAGGCTCAGCAGGTCTGACAGCCTGTCTCCTTTGTAACTCCTCCTAAAGGCAGGAAAAGGACTCTCACGGGAAATGAATCAGGCCCTCCGGAGCCCATGAGGCAGCGTCCAAGAGGAGCTGTGCTATTGCCTGGCAAGATTGGTGGATCAGATAGAGGACCACATATCAACATCTTTGTCATAATCTCTAACATAAATATGCTTTATTTTCCTGTTTATTTTCATTTTAAGGTGAATATAAAAAAAAAAAGTTAAAGGTCTGAAGCACTAAACAGGGTCACAATAAGAAAATCCAAGATTATTTCCATAGAAATCATGGTTAAGGCAGACTACAGTGAACCACAGATGCAAAATCATAAATATTACAAAACGTGTATTTGTGTGCAAGAGGCCTAAATTTCAGTTATCTCTGAGAATCCTCACTGCAGGGGCCTCTCTGTGCCTAAATGCTCACTTATGAAACTGTGATATGTTGGAGGGGGGGGGGTAATTTTATCTTGTGCTGAACAGCGAACGTGTTAGGATTTGCCCGTGTTTTCAGAGCCCAGCTACAGCAGTGACTACCTGACTCAGCTCGCAAACTAGAGCCACAGCATCAAATTTCCCAACCCACTTAATTTGAAAGCCTGCCAAGATAGGTGAAAGACCTTATAAATATGTAAAGCAGGAAGTTCAAATTACACAGTGATGTAAATTCCCAGTGATTGATGCCCTTTTAAAAACAATAAAAATCCTCGAGAAAGTACAATGTTGGTAAATGTGCTTCCCTCCCGCTGCTGTCTGACGGTGCCGTGCGGAGTTTGGCTGATGTATTGTACTTTTCGTGCGGATTTTATTTTGGATTTCTACCACTTCCTGGAGGCCAGGGGGAGGCACAGTGGGAGGAACCAAAAAACTCGGTGCCACAGCCATTTTGTTTGTGGGCAGCATGGTAGAATTCTGTCAGTCAGTATAAGGAGGGGTTTTTAAAACAGTATTTATGGAAAAACTATTCCTGCCGTAACGGATGTATCTGTTGAATTTAGTGTTAATTTAGTTCTTTCACAAGGTAGGTATTCATAATTGTAAGTAAATTCAGTATTTGTTGGGATTCCAGCCTCCCCACTTTCCAGGAATCATGGATTTTGTTCCAGGCATGACTGGCTCTTTCGGATGCTGCGAGGCTGCCGGAGTGCGGCGGGCGGGGGTGCGGGGGTGCCGCGGGGGGCCGAGGATGCGCCGGGCGGCACAAACTTGCTGCGGGGTTCGGAGTGGGGGCGGGGGCGGGGGGAGGGACGGAGGGAAAACGACGAAGTCTCGGAATTATTTTCTCCAGCTGTCTTTCTTTATTAATTCTCAAGAGGCGGCTGCTCTCTCTCTCTCTCTCTCTCTCTCTCCGAGGGGGGAGGATGAGGCGGGGGGTTGCGCGGGGCGAGCCGTAGTTTTGCAGTGTCACCGAAAACCAGCGCTAGACTTTGGTCCTGTGTGTTCCAGAGGCGGGTGTAAAATGGCACACTGCATTTTTCCAGGCGGCGGCGGAGCGGGGGGAGCGGGCGGGGGCGCCGCTGCCCGCGGAGCCCATCGAGCCGCCGCCGGCCCCGGCAAAGTTGTGACCCCGCAGGCACCGGGTCCCCCGCCCCGGCTGCGGCCGCCGCCGGCATCGCCCGCCGACCCTCGGGAAGCCGCCTCCTTCCTCAGCCGGCGATCCTGGCGGGGTGACGAGGAGGGAGAGGAAAAATAAAAGCAGAGAGAAGAAAAAAAAAAAAAAAAAGAAAGAAAGAAAAGTCTCACTTTCTGCATTTGCGAAATATTTTAAGGATGTTCGGGGAGCCCTTTGCAGCATGGAGATGGCTGGTTGTAGGAGAGCGAGTATGCAGTCCATATTGTTACAGCCCTTTTGCAAGGGCTGCCTTCTCCCAAGGTAAGTTTGTGGTTTTAACCAAAAATATTCGTTTCTGCGGGTTTTTGGCTTGTGTTAGTGCTGTGGGGGGTTTTCGTTGTGTTGATGAACAAAACGTAGCCTTGTATTTTTCATAGCTTTGATCTCATGTGTATCCCACCCAACGGTGTCTCCTTAATAGCGACAATTACTGAAGTCAGTTTTTTTTCCTCTTTAAAATTTTATACACGCGAAGCTTAACAACAATTTAACTTCAATTTAAGACTGTAAGAACTCAAATATTTTCCAGATGGACTTGGTTTGGTTGGGGTTTTTTTGGGGTTCTAGCTTTTTGTTGGGGGGGGAGAGAGGGGGGGCGGGGAATTCTTTGCCGAGTAATAAACGGATCCAGGACCAAATATGTGACTGTCTTTATAAATATAATGCAGCTCTCGTGTGTTAGGAAGAATATTATGTTGCTGCTGTATGGTCTGGTGGTGGCTAAAAGAGTTTACAATAGCATTTGTGATGGCTCTTGATGGATTACTTTGGTCTAAAGTATGAGGGAAAACTGCCCTTGGTGTGGTGAAGGTGGAGATGGACACAACAGGGTTTATATTAAGTTATGTCTCTTAATAAACAGTGACCTTTTTATTTACAAATTAGCTCTCTTCTGGTAATTAGCTTAAAGCATTAGTTATATAAAGGTTCTTATTTCCCCACACTTCATTTAGATGTCTTGGTGTGGGGTTGTTTGCTCTTTTTTGGCGGGGTGTGTGTGAGTGGTTTGTTTGTTCTTTCTTCCTCCAAGAAGGTACATTTGGGAGACATTTTGTAATTTTTGGCATTTTTCTAGGCTCTTTCCTATTTTTTTTCTTTTTTTTTTCTTTTTTTTTTTTTCACCCGGTGGGAGATCTTTTTTGTTTTGCATTGCTCTGTGCTGGTGGCGCTGTGGGGCTCCGAAACAATTCGTGTCCCTGGCTCTAAAGGGGGAGGGGGCTGGAGGGGGGAGGAGAAAGGTGGGGCACGGTTTGATCTATTGTATCTTTTTCTTTTCTCTGTATCAAAAGTAACCTCAGATTAGTTAGGAAGACGATGAAATTGTATCTCTGGAAAATTGTAGTGTCGCATGAACTATGGCCCGGCACAGGCATGACCTCACCCTTTCGTTGGTTTGTGTAATGAAGCTGATCCTTAATTTTATTTTTTTTCCCAATCCAATCGTTTTCCTCAGTGATGAGATTTTCGGCCCCACCCCCAAAATGATTTTACACTGGCTGCAGATGAAAGGTTTTTAAGTGATTTTTTTGCAGCCAATATGGAAGGCTGTGGCACACACTTATTGTGCAACTAGTCCATTGTTTGCTTGTTGTGAAGTTAAAGGTTCCATTCACCGGTGGTTAATCAAGCCCAGAGGTTCCCCTTGCTCCTGTGCTTGCATATGCAAATCTCCTCTGGAGGTCTGTAGGAGTATGGATTGTGTTTGAAGGTGGGATTGTAAAGAAGGTAGTCTTTACCTAAGGTAGTCCTTCGGATTGAAAGAGGATTCACCTGAGGTGGGTGGGTTTTTTCTTTCCCGTTGCTAAGTGGGGCATGCGTTTTACATGTATTTATAAATAGATATATGTTAATGTGTGTTGTTTTCTTTTGTCACAACCTACAGATCACCTCGGTTCTAAGTGCAAAAGGATTAGAAGGCTTTCTGCTAACATCCATATTAGGTGTAAGAAAACAGAAGTGATTCATGTTCTAAGATGGGTGGGAAGACATAGTCAAGCCTATGATCAGAGCATATATTGGAAACTCAACAGGTTCAGGAATAAATTTAACATTAAATTTAACACATTTTTAAGGAATCAATGTGCCTGTTATTTTTGAGTGATAAAAGCTGACAATTTTAGAGGCTTTTGCATCTATTTTACATTTCAGTATCTTCATTATTTTAAAAGAATAAATTTGACAAATAATAGACTGCTTGAAACAGGCTTTAAACTATTCATGAATGTTTAAATCTTCCAAAATGAGTTTAATTTTTTTTAAAAAGTTTGCTCATAAAAATAATTAGTTTTATGGAAACTGATATGCAACTTACACAGATCTCTACAATGGTCTCTTAATATGTTATCTTTCCTTTAAAGAAGGTAAATTTTACTTCTGTCTTAGCTAAAATACATCTTGCAACCTTCTTCCAGTAACTAACATTTATATCAGTCAGCTTTCATCATCTGCTGTCAGACAACATCTGCTTTTATGGTTTCTTGGCTGGAGAGAGAGTCCTGGTGGCCTGTGACAGTGCAACATGACCATCACATCTTTGGTGTCCTGGTACAAATCTTAGGTCTTGAGGACAAGTATCAAGATATGAACTCTCTTCAAAAGTGTGGTTTTTGGCTATCTTCCATCTCTGAGACCTGATCACTAGGTCAAAGGTTGGCATTTTGGGCATGGTTTATTCCAATGGAAATAGTGCCAGTTGTTGTTGAATCTATTAGAATAGTTATCAGTCTTAGAGCATCACTATTATTTAATTCTGTTATTTAATTCTGATACAACTTTTCTTTTTTTACATCATATAGACCAATGTTCAGTTTGCTCATCCATGGACAACAGTACTGAGCAAATGATAAACTGAGGTACTTACTGAAGGTAATTTCATGCTTCTGCTCCTCTTGTCATCCTGGACCATGAAAGTGATGATTTCTTGTGACTGCAGACTCTGCACATAGGCCATGAATGAACTGATTGCCAGTGATCTTGCTGCTCAGAATCAGTTCTAGCTCACTGATGTCAGCAAGAACATGAATGCTGACTAGCAACTTGCTTCTCACTTGCTCTTCTTTCTCCCCTTTAGTTGGGGCTACTCTTTAAGTTTGGTTATGGTTTTGTAGCTTTGAAGTTGCATCTGACGAAAGTGTCTGTTCTCACTCCTATCAAGAAGTCACAAGGTGAGAAGAGTGAAGTGCTGATCTTTTGCAATTCAGCAGTTTCCTCACTTCTCCTTCCTTTTTGAGCCATTGTTGAACAAGAAATAGTTCCCAGCAGATGCGCTGCCAATAAGGAATAAGATTAAATTAGTTAAGATTTTTCATCCTCTCAAAGCTAAATAGCAACTTATTTACCTCCTGCATCTTCTGCAGAAATGCCTAGAAGAGTCATGACTGGGGGGTGGCTCTGTATTTATTGTGTGTTTTCCCCACCCTGCTCCTTCTGAAATGTGGAATGCCAGGACCTAAAGCAGAAGAACTTTTTTTTTTTATTTTGTGTTTCTTAATTTTCTCCCTTATATCCCTCCCTTTCTAAGATGGCAAAAGTAATGTATTTTTCTCCTAATACAGTATTCCTTTGTAACTCTATAAAGACTCCAGACACCTTTCAAAGAATATTTGGCTCTCTTGGCTTAAAACTATTTGAAACACAGCATCCTTCTGTAAACCTGTCTTTTCCAAGAGCTTAACTCAGCCTGACTGGCCAAAATGTACTTTGTGCCTTCATGACATTCCTCTTACCAATATTACTAGTGTTATATGCTCAGGTAAAAACAGCCACAGTCTAAAAGAGTCATAGCAGTGCAGATGTGTAGATCCCAGGCAGATGTAACCAACTTCCAAAGCTAACCAATAATAATGTGAAGACAGTTCCCCAGAAGTGTGCTGTTGGTGCAGAAAAGCACTGTTTGGGACTCAGTTCAAACAAAAGCTGTACCTCCTGCTGCATTCACTCCTAGGTCATTGTGTTCTCTAGTTTCCTAAGCTGATAACATACCCTGGTGCCTGGGACTCCTGTCTGTTCCCTTTTGAGGGTTCTAAATTATTCATTGTCTTTGATTCAACAAGGCTTAGGGGGTGGTGGTGGTGGTGGTGATCTTTGTTTGACACATTATGACATAGCCTTGTTTCACCTTTCTTACTTCCTGACTTTGCTAGCTTAGTTCTCCACATCAAACTTGTCAGTGTCAACTTACAGCAATGAATAATTATTTTAAAACTTACTTCAAGGATCACCTCTTTCCCACCTGTGAACAAAGGACAATATATTACATGCCTTCTTCAGACTCTCATCTTCTAGAAAGTTAGGTCCCTCCACACCTCTTCCAGAGTGGTATTTGTGTGACTTGCCAGTGTTACAAAACAATGTGCTTTACCTCCTATATGCCAGAGGAACGATGTGCTGTGACTAGGACATCCATCCACCTTTTAGCGTTTTTCATATTTTTCCTCTCTTATCAAATAGCTCAAGAAGTTAATTCATGTTGTAGTGAAGAGACAATCGTAGATTTTAAATGCTTTAGTAAATATACTGGGTGAGGAATGTCAGTGCTTTGAAAGAGAATATCTAGCTGTTGTGAGCAACAAAATATGCCTTGGGACACATGTGACCACGTACCAATGGCTTCAGGTCCCATGGGCTTCTTTAAACTCTTTGCTAAGTCACATTTCCAGTATATCATGTTACCACTGGACTGTCCAGAGCAAGATAATACCAGTACTACAAATTTCCTTAATAGGAAAGTTTGCTCATCAATTCTCTACTGATAATAGCCAGAGTCTAAAATTGGTAGTAAGAAGAGTACTTAAAAAGTAAGCATGTTTGCTAAAAATTATTCTTTCTGCTTATCTGCCAGTATAAACAATGGAGAGATGGGAACTGCCAAATATCATGTGAGTCCTAGTCTTAACTGGTTGTCTGGGGAGTTGGGATGCTGTTATGGAGCTCCTGCATGGTAAATGCTGAGAGCCATACAATACCACACAATAGAAAACAACAGCTGCAATGTCTATTGCTTTGAGCACCAGTGAAACCAGTAAAAGCTCTAAACATAGTTCATGGGAATTCAGACTTGGAGCAGATGATTTAAAATGGAGGGATGCTAACTTTTCATCTTCTGTTGTTGAAGACAACCTTGTTAGGGAAAGAAAAAAGGAGGAGTTAGTTTTTGCAATGCTTTGAGTACTGGGATTCCCAGAGGAAGAGGGAAAGGAGCGGGCTGGATCTCATCCCTGCTCCCAGGACTACCTCATGGATTTTACTCAGTAATGTTTAAATGTGAAATGTAGGAAGCCTGAGGAACAGTGAGCAGACTTGCTCCTCCCAGAGCAATCTTCTTTTTGTCAGGTTCAGTTCTGGATTAATCTGGGACCTGTGCTTACAAGTGCATGGTTAGATGGGTAGGCAATGGCCCTGTGTTAAGGTGGTGTTAACTTGCACTTCACTGCATTAACAGTCAGCTGTGCTGCTGAGTAAATTGGAATCCCTGTATCATAAACACTTCATGTAGAACCTCTTTCACCTGCCTTTAGATGAGCATTGTTAAAACTGTAATTCTAGCCATTGAGAATAACCAGGACAAATAAATCACAGCTTTAAAAAAAACAACAAAAGGACACCAACTAATCAAACATCAAAACAACCAAAAAAGCTAAATTTTTGATTTCTGCAGTGATATAAATCTTATTTTAAACTTCACTGAGTATCCTGATCAGGTGTCCATCTTCCTCTTATGACTAGTCCTCATCTAATCAGATAAATCCCATGCCCCTGTGTTTGTTAATACTGACCTGTGCATCATTTAGGTGATGAAAAGTTAGCTCTTAATCCTCACTTCCCTTCAGAGCTTTAAGAAACTTGCTAAATGGAAGCAAGACCTCCCTGGCCTCACAGGGGTATGTGTCTTGGATATTCCTTAACACAAGTAAGAGTGAGCTTTCCATGTTTGTTCAAACTGGCTAAAAAATCAGGTGACTAAGATCTGGGCCTTTCGGCATTACAGGCATCCCTAAGGTCCTGTATCTATTTACTAAAGAATCTTGGTGCTGCCACAAGCTGATGACTAAAAGGATAACTTCTTGAAATGATCCTTTTATCTGACAGATTTTCATCTGTAATGCCAGGCATAGACAGGGCATGTTACCTGGATGTATTTGTTCAGAGTTTTTCCTCAGGAAAATTTAAAATTTAATTTAATTTAAAATGTTAGTATGCAGAGCACTTTTGTTATTTGTGATGGTCTCAAAGGTATCCGTACAAGACAGAATATCATGATGACTTCAGACAACATGACTGTATATTCACAATTCAGAAAAGTGCCACAATCAGCATTTTTCAAGGAGAAGACATGCTGGATAACAGGTGAAAAAAAATACATCTAATGACTCTTCATATACTCTTCTGTTTAGCCCATATCCATTTATAATCACAGAATGAATGAAGATTCTGTAAGAAAGTATTCTGATTTCTTTTGTCATCTCTGAATCTATTTCCAAACTAAAAATTGGATATTGCAGGAATCTGTGGGAATTGAAAGCTCTAGTCAAGAAGACTTCCAGATGAGCTACTTTAATGTGAGAAACTGTTTTCCTTCCCATCTTACATGTTCTCCCTTTTTTTTAAATTAGGTCATGTCCTTTTGTGATAACAACCTTCTTGAGTTGCTTATAAATCAGATGAAGTTCAGCGGAACTTGGCACTTGTGACCAGTAGCAGGCTTGTGCACAGAGCCCCGTATTAATGACAGGGCTCTGTCATCTTCTCTTGCTCAGACAGGCAGAATGTCAAACAGCTGTAAAACTGACACACTGCTCAGTAAAAGAGTGAGAGTGGAGTGTCTTTATCAGACAGGGCGAGGGGCTGAAAGTCTTACCTGCTTGTACTCTTGAGTGAATTGAGAAAACCACTTTCCTTTTGGCTGAGTTTCTCAGGTTGCCCTTACAGAAGATTTGGGGATTTCACTGGGTGGGGTGAGAAGAAAATGCCAATTATATCACAGCAGCCTGGGTTTCCCACCTGCATTACGACAGAGAAGACAACCTAATATGATGTCTCTGTTTTTCTTCTCAGGGTGACTTCAAGTTTTCATCTAAACAAAAACACTTTCCCTCTCAACATCTGCCCAACTTCCACAAGTTTTTTGCATTTTCTAAATGTTCAAAAACCTCAGAAAATATATTTTCTTCAGGTTAACACTGTTAAGAGTTTTACACTTTTTATGCCTCTGATGCTATCATTTAAAGATATATGTACATCAAAACAGTCTTATCTAATCAGATTTATGTTCAGATCTAGCCTCCTCTGCTGGATATTTATAGTCAAACTCAATTCATTAAGTTTTGGGGTTTTTTCCACTAATACAGCATTATTAATTTATGCTTTCTGAAGTGTATATATAAATGTTTGGTTATAAATATGATCGTTATTAGTTTGTATCCTAGAAGACAAACAATATCTTTAGGAACATTCACTTATGCTTAATTCAGAAGTATAAATCGAACTGCAGTGTGAAAAAAAAAAATCCACTTCTAAAATTGAAAGAATATTTGTGTTCTTGCAAACTTTTGAAATCCAAAAGCTGAGTTATTTGTAGTTTTTTAATTTCTTTGGAGAAATGTATTTTCCTTAAGTAAAGATGGTATAGCCTATATTGGGTACTTAATAAAACAATTGTATTAATTTGATCTGAAATTCAGAATTCACTCGCACTGTAGGTATGTAGGTAGGTCTCACTAACATTAAAAAAAAAAAAAATCACTAAACATATGTGTTGGGAAATGCCTCTTTATTTCAAGATGCAAGTATACTTTCCTGCCCCAAAAGACTTCTGAAGCCTGGCTAATTCCTGTCCAGGTATAAGTCAGTGTTTTCCTCAGTTGTCTGAGGCAAACAGAGACACTACTTTTGTTGTGATTCAGGAACTGCAATTTAAAATGATTGGCTTTATATAGTAACCTTATTTAACATAAGCAACGTAGTTCTGAAGTTCTGAAAATACTTGATTGTACCAACCAGAAGCTCTGGAGCACTTGAAAAAATTTTTCATAGATTGACTTGCAAGACAGGATTTCTATCTTGGGAGTGTAAGGTAAAAAATTAAGACATTAGAGCATATGTCTTTCCCTGAATTGAGTTTGCTGCATATTTGCATTTACATAGAGCAGTGCAACTAACAGCTTAGAAGTAAACTTTCTAAAGTTGTGCAAAGGTACGTAGCTTGTCCCCAGTTTACCCCTTTACCCTGGGTTGGGGTGCGAGCACTGTGGCAGCCTAAGGTACTGGTGTGGTGTGTGTTTGTGGTGAGGGATTTTTTTGTTTGTTTTTAGCTTAATGGTCAGTTGAAGGATTCGGGACAGTGGGCATTCCCATGTACAACCATGATTTCTCTACTTCTGTTTTCCTTTTTTAGCCTTTCACCTTATCCTGTGCAGAATATCAAAGTAATCTATGATTCATGAATTAGCAGTTGTGTTCACAAGAGAAGGTGCGGCTTTTTTTTTTTTTTTGGGTGTGGGTTTGCTTGCTTTTTTCTGTTTGATTAGTTGTGGGGGTTTTTGCAAGAAAACCATAAGGTTTTTTGCCCTTCTGCTGGCTCTTCTGCTGGAAATAATACAGAATCATATGATTAAATTCACTTGACTCAGGAATTATTCATGTGTTATAATCTGATATTTGCAGAAGTCCATACCTAAGTAAGAGGTGCCTAGCCAGTCTGTCCAGCTCAAATGATGTTTACCTAATAAATTGTGATTTTAATATTATTATTGTTTTGTATGTCAGAACACAAAATGTTTTGGATAAAGATTTTAAAAAAAAAAAAAAACAAACCCAGAACATAAAGTCAGACTTTTTTTTTTTTTTGCCCCTTCATCTTATTACTTAATCCTAAAAGATTATTTTGTGAAATCAGTTGCTGATGAAGATGACTAAACCAAGAATTCAAGGTGTGTCTAGCAGAGTATTTTAGAGGGATTACACATTATAGCATAAAACCGTAAAGGAGAAACTCATAAATCACTTTTAACCTTTACAATTCTTAGGATTTCTGAATCCATTAAAACTTAAACAGGGAAATAGATATTTCAATACAGAGGAGTCTCTGCATAATTTGTGTCTTTACCACTGCTGTATTTAAGAGAATAACTGCTTCCAATATAATGTGTTTTCCCTAGACACATAAAAACTCGAGTCTCTGGAACAAGCCATATAAAGGAAGCTCATTCCTTTCTGACAGTACAGAAAAACTTCCCTCAGACCCTCTGTGCTTTCAGATACATTTTAGGCAAGAAAAAGGCAAAATGGGCTCTATCTATCCAGGTAATGCTGGGACAAATGTTGAGTTATGTAAAATAATAATCCTAAGTTGTTCATTCCTCTTGCACTTTCTGATCCTCCAGTATAGGTATTGCCTCCACTATCTCTAAGAGCTTAGCTATCGCTGGAAAAGTAGGAATCTGGCTATAGCTTTTGCTCTCTTTACTTTATCTCTTCTCTGTAAGAGAATTGCTGGCTAGTGACTTTTCCTTCTCTTTTAGATATGGCTCAGTGGCATATCCAAAAAGTTGAGGTTCAGCTTAGTTTCCCTGAGGTTGCTGGACTCAACTTTTGAGTATATATGACAGAAAACATATCCCCAGAGAAGATTACACCATTAAATTGGCATCTAGATCCTTTCACCTGTGGAAAAAAACACTGCCTGTTATATATGTACTTGGAATTATAAAACCCCACCCATACAGAGTGATACGTAATCAGTCTGAAAGCAAATAAGAACTCCTTCATTTATAGCCTAGGTCAAGCACGAGTCTTGTAGGCAAAAGTTCTAAAATACAGCATATGACAGTGTTACTATTTTGGGTGTGTATTACATTGCATATACAGTTGTATCATTTTCAAATCCTTTTTGCACAGCTTTTATCGTTCAGACAGTTGTATTCTGCAGCTTTCACAAACTGGATCACGTGAAGAAAGAGGGTGGTGGCTCTAAACTGCAGATAGTGGGGAAATATAAATTCTAACATGGATCTTTCCCAGTGGCTTTTCTTCTGATGTGTGCAGTTAGGCTTTTCTCTGAGCTGCTAATGTATCTGATGGGATTCCCACCTGGTACTCAGCGCAGCTCCATAAGCAGCGGTGCCGATACCAGTGAGGGTACGATACCAGCAGTGCCGATACCAGCTACGGAGGAGAAAGAGCGGGTGGCAGAGCAGGGACAGGGACCAGTGTCTTAAACCAGCACTGTTACCAAAGGCAACACAGCACAAAGTGAGAGCCTGAGAAATGACAGAACTCCAGTTCATTTCAGCCTGTCTTGGTTTTGTTGGCATTATCTTCTGCAAAATACTGTTGCCTTGGGATTTCCTGTGTGTAGTTTTAAAACGTGAAACCCGTTGGTCACATGGTAATTCCTTATCCAGTTTTAAGTATGGTCACTTGCGACAAAGCATTAAAACTTTGGACTGTGTTGCAAGAACTTCAGTGCCTCTGTTTGGAATGTTGAGGATACAACTGGTTCTGTAATGCTGCACTAGTGGTCATTTCTAGTAAGATACTGCTTGTGAGAATAGCAGTTGTTGGGCTTGTAGTGGAAAAATTACAGGCTTATGTTTAGCAAAAGCTTCTTGTCTCACCAGGCTGTTTTATCTCCAAATTTAAAAGGTTTTTTTGGCAGTTTTGGAATCTAAAGGATTATGCTTACTTACATTCTATTGAATAGTAATAGGAATATGATATTAAATGCAGTAGTATCTCATCTCTTGGTATTCTGCACTGTAAACTGAAAGTGCTTACAAAAAATAAAAGGTAGCTGAAAGATTTGACCATGCAGTACATGTACCAGAACCAAAAATTTATATATATACATGTATATATATATGTAAGACGAAACCTACTGCAGCTCAACCATGAACACCTGAAATAACTAAATGAATATATCGTACCATTCTTTTGAGATACCAAAGCTATGAAACACTAAATTATCTTCTGAAAAAGTGGCAGAAGTTATTACAAAGTCATTCTACACCAGTTTTGTAGTGTGGTGACTGAACTGGTTATGTGTGACAGTTCCATTATCTCTTTTAACACAGACAGTTGACACAAGTAAATAAGGTGAAATTCACTGTGCATTACATTATGGTTGAAATCTTCATGCTATTAGGATAATTTCTGTATGCATCTACTTACTATTGTAATGTGACATTTTATAAAATAATGAAGAACCTCTAGTGTCATATTTGCATACATTTATCTCATTTAAATTCAAACTCCAAGTATCTCACTGAGATGATTTAAAAGAATATAGCTATCTGTAGTGCTGTAAAACACATACAAGAAAGGTAGCTGTGAAGTAAACTTGAACAGTAGTATTACCACCAAATATAGAACAGGAATATACATAAAAAATCCATTAAAGCTTATCCAGATATGGTAATTTCAGAATGTGCCTTTTTTAATACTTGAGTATTAAAAGTGTGGGTGGGTGGGGGAGATATCAGTGACATTTTTTTTATCAGTTCAGAATAGTTGGCATTTATGGAGATTAAAAAAACCCAGATCAACAAAATTTCTGTATAGATAAATAATGTGTTAGTAGAAGGGTTTAAAGTAGCCAGAATGAGAAAAATTAAAAATTGCAAGTATTTATGAATATGAAAGTCAGTGCATAGTTTAGTATAGTATAAAATACAAACAAATCCTAATATAAAAGAGAGAACAAAAATGCTTTAAAAATTTTTTTTTAGATGTTGAACAACTGTCTCCTAGAATTTTATATCCTTAAAACATTAAATTGCTTGATTCCAGAAAGCACCAAAAATGATACAGGATTTAACCTGTATGGACTTTATATGCAGCTCTTTTGTGATGATGACTGATGTTAGAATGGGAGACAATATTAAACTCATGTTCAAAAGGCCACAGTTCATGCATAAATAAATGACTGGAAGCCTTTCTTTAACTCAGAGAGGTCTTAAACAGCACAATTAAATAAATACTAAAATTTGTAAAAACTTCTCAAATGGTACACAAAACCTGCAAACCAAAATAGCAAGTTAAGTTTTTGGGCTTCACAAACCTAAGTTAGATGACAGCAAAAGAGACCCATGTAGCTTCATGGAGCAGGTTGTTGAAAATTTGCCCCCAGTGCTCAGTCTGAATTTAATACTTTTGAATGTATATTGAAATGGTTTTATTTACCAGCTACCTAGCTGATATAGCAAAGTGCTTTCATTTTAATAAAGCTTGTTCTTTCAATTGTTTTGATATCATAAAAAGATAAAGCCTTTAAGAAATGACTCAAAATGTTTGATCTAATTTCAGCAATTTGAAAAAAAAACAACCAACCAAACAAACAAAAAACTAAACCAAACCCAACCAACCAAAAAACCCCAGCAGTTCAAAATGCTATATTCATTATATTTCAGTTACTTTACCTTACAGTTCAATTTTTAAAATTTGCACTTTGGTTCATCAAATTAGTTTACACTTACTGATCTTTTACTGAGAACCTGCAAAGAGTATTTTGGTCATTATGCAAAACATACCAATTCTATATTAACTGCTGTCATAGTGCAGCACTGATGTAATGTGTGCATTTTGGTAAAAGCTCTAAAATTGAAAAAGCTAAATATTCTTGCATATTGTAACTGAAAGAAAAATAAAATGGAAACACCAGTCTGTTTATGTCCTATACATTTTCCTGTCACCACCTTTTACAAAACAGACATTAGAGCTGATGTTACATTGTTTTCAAATACTACACTTACTAGCAAATTAATTTAGTTAATTTTGAGGACTAATCATCTTCTGCTACAAAATATTTAAAACCAATCTATTTTGTTGGCAAAACATTAAACCCTGATGAGTCCAAGAGTTTCAGGCCAACACTCTTTCTTAATGCATACTGTCCTCTTTGTATCCAAATGTTATTGTCCTTTCTGCTTGCTCTGCACTTTTCTCAAGCCTGTGGCAGGGTTAGAAATGCAAAGGTCAATTAAGGATAAGTTTGAACTTGATTATTCTTTCTTTATAGTTCAGGGTATTTTCAAAACTTTGCTTTTCATTATGTTTCATTATGTATTGTTTTCCTTTCATCAGTAAAAGTGGAGAGTTATATTTAATGGCCTTATTTTTTGCTTAGCTTGCCAGGTGTTTCATTTTCATTTAACGTTTTAAGTCAATCTATGATGGCATATTGCTTTGAGTGCACTTTTTTTGTCATCACCTTATCTGTCTGCTAATTGGATAAACTAAATTATTTAGTATTTCTGGAAAACTGTGTAGATGTTCTATGGGCAATTTATTTTAAGATTACTTTTTCTAGTTAGTGTGTGTTTTTAGCTTTAAAGTTAGAGTAAAAAGCAATATAATGCTTAAACATTTGGCTCTGATGCAACTACTGAAATACAAATGAATACAATGATATTCCTTAGTTCATGCCACTCTCCTTAAAAAAAAAAGAACCCCCACCCCCAAAACAAGAAAAAACAAAAAACCCCCCTTCCTTTTAAAAAAAAAAAAAAAAAAAAAAAAAGTCTCATTCTCCTTAGCAGCTGTCTTCCACTGCATTACCCATTTGCAATACAGATAGAATTTCTGGTCCCAGAGAGGTTATGAAGCCAAGTGACTTGCAAGTTAAACAGTTTGGGAGACCTGCACGGAAGACACATGCAAATAGTTGGCTTGAAACTGCTGCTAACAACTGCATGTAGTAATATTTCATCCAGTGTCTCGTAGTTGCTCAAGGTTCAGGCTGGTGGTATTATTATTATTAAAGAGGAGATGAGATTTAAAAAATAGCTTTTGTTTCTATTACAGAGAATTTTGCAATTGCTAAGGAAACCAAAGTTTTTCTAGTTTTTTTTTGTTATATCTATGTCCTGTTTCTTAAAGTTCTATTTCCCAAGAGTAGTATGCGATAAAGAACAAGTTCTGTCTACTGATTCTCAATTATCAGTACTAAACTACAGTATTTTGCTTTAAAAGTGGAGGGACACTTGAATCCAATCAAAACACAACCTCCTCACGATTTTAAAACGGAAATAACTTCAAGAAAGTGGCTTTTACTTTAGGACTGGAATTAGCCAGTGCAAGAAGCTAACACAGATGAGCAGGTGGACTGTTCCTTAGCTCGGCGGCTCCAGCCCCGGCCTGGCGGGAGCGGAGTTTGACGTTCCCGTGGCTGCGCTGGGATGCCCCGGGGCGGCACGTGCAGGCAGCGCTGGGACCGGGCAGACTCTGCCTTCCTATCCCCTGCTTATCGCCGGGTAGTGCATCAATTTAATCGACTCACCGGGATGTAAACGAGCTTCCCTAATGCGACATGCTCAGAGGAGTTCTACCCTTTGCCCGGGGTGAGCTCGGTTGAGCCGGTCACTGGTAATAAATCCACGCAAGGGTTAAAACAGTTCGCGTGTCTGCGCTGCGCTGCCGGACCAAGTTTGTGAAAGCCTCAGAGAAAGGCGCTAGGGATGAGGTGGTGAGGGCGCCCGGTTCTTACGGTTCTTCCCCCTTTTTCGGGGAGCTGCCCGTGTGATGGCGAACTCTGCTGAGCGGTGCGGGTGCGGCTGAGGGGCCGCGGGTGCGGGGCCGGTCCCCGGGGCGGGGGCGCTCCCCGGGCTCGGCCCCCGCCTCAGCGCGTCCGGGTCGGGGCGAGTTCAGCGCCCGGCGCCGCTGTCCCCCGGTCCGGCCCCCGAGCGGCCGGAAAGGTCGAGGCCGGCAATTCCCCGCCTCTCTCGCCCAGGTTTCCAGGAGCTGTCAGGGTCAGGGTCAGGCGCGGCTGTCGGGGACGCTACCCGCGTTGTGGAGGATTTGGGGCCGCCCAAACCTCCTCACCGAGGCAGAAGAGGAGCGCGGCTCCCCGGCACAGCTCGGCGAGCGGAGCGGTGCCGCACGCTGATTAAAGCCCCGCTTCACTCGCGGTCGCGCTCCCCAGTCCCGTTGTCCCGCTGCCGCTCCCGCTCCAGCCGCTCCGAGCCCGCCGCGCTCTCGCGCCGCCGTGCCCGCGCGGCGCGCGCTCCCCCCGGGCGGCGCCGTGCCCGCGCCCTGCGCGATGCAGTGTGGGAATGGCTGTGGCGCTGGGGTTGGCTGAAAGAGGCGGCCAGTCGAGGTTTAATGTCCGCCATGTTGGCCGTGGCGTATTGAGCGGAACCGGAGCGGCGGAGGAGCGGAGCCAGCGCCCAGCCCAGCCGCGCCAGCCGGCGCCGCCGGGCCCCGTGTCGGAGTGCGCCCCGCCCCGCCGGGGGAGCCCCGGTCCCTCCATGAGATCGCTCGGCGGGGTCCGGCTCTCAGCTCGGAGCGCTCTTGCTGTCGCCCCCCCCTTCCCAGCCGGAGCCGCCATCGCCGCCTAACATGAGCAAACTGTCGTTCCGGGCCCGGGCGCTGGACGCGTCCAAGCCGCTGCCCGTCTTCCGCTGCGAGGACCTGCCTGACTTGGCCGAATATGCCTCCATTAACCGGGCCGTGCCGCAAATGCCCACGGGCATGGAGAAGGAAGAGGAGTCGGTACGTGAGACCCCCCACCTCGGCCGGGTCCCACCATCCCCCGCACCCGGGCCCCCACCTTCGCCTCTGCGCAAGCACAAATGGCCGCCATCTTCTCCCCGCTCTCCCCGCCCGCCGGGAGGGGGGGGGACACCCGGGGCGGGAAGGCGCCGAGCCCGGCGGGCCCACACCGGGCCTTCACCGCGCCCTCCCCCGGGGCTCCCTCACGGCCCCCTCGCCCCCCGCGCGCGCCCCGCGGCCGCCGGCGGCCCCCCGGCGGGGGCCCGAGAGGCACAAAGGGGGTCACGTGACCGCGCGGGGCGGCCGCCATTTTGTGTGCCGGTCCCTGGGCCGGGCCTGGTGCGGCAGCCGCGAGGCGCGGACGCGGCCCCGCCGGGGGGCGCTGCCGGGCCGGACGGGGCCGCGGGGGGCGCGCGGCGGCGGGAGCGCGCGCGGGGCCGGCCGCCCTCAGGGGAGCGGGACCTCCTTCCCTGCGCAGGGATGGGGAGCGGGAGGGGTTCCGCTCGGGTTTGCTTGAAAACCCTGGAAGCGCCTTCAGACAGACTGAGGTCTGTAAGGTGGAAGTGAAATTGTTATGGTCCCTGCGGAAGTCGGTTCTGAAGCACGACTGAAAGTGAGGAAATCCGTGGTGGGAGGCTAAAAGTCTATCGCTTCCCTCTCGGTTTTGCTGGCTCAGTGAAGGGTGAAACTTTAAACCTTTTTGAACTTCAGAAGCGTTTAATCATTCGCTCAGCACTTTCCAAGATAGGTGAAACAATCAGTAGCTGCTACTGCTGAAGATAAAACACTCGGTAGCTGTTGTTGTCGAGACCCCTGCTCTGCAGTGTGCTGTTACTTTCAGTGTTTACAAATCTTTAGTTATTTCCTTAGTATAATCAGTTTTCCCCGGCTATGTATCAAGCACGGCAAGTAGGGAAGAACTGTATACAGTTATGTAAGGAAGTTTTGAAATTTGGTGCTAAGAACAAAGGTGATCGTTCCATAGTCCTGCGTTTTTCTAGTTGTCAGACTTTCACTGTCCTTTAAAGGTGACAGGCTGTAAAGTTTCTGTTTGTATTTCTAGATGTAGAATACTCTGAGTTACTTTTATTTTAAAAGATGTGTCATCTTTAAGTCGAGTTTTCTGTCTGTGGCACTATGGCCCTAAGTTAACTGAGTCTGTGAGTTTTTGTGAAATGTCTTCAGGCAGAGTGATTTCTAGAGAGTAATACTCTTCATGTTGTCCATTCAGTAACCACTCTCTGATGCTTTTCTAACATAACTCCTTACCGTTTCAACATAATTCATTATTTCTAAGACTTGTACAAGTCAGAAGTTGCTTTAAACATCCTCTAAAATGTATAATGTCAAGTGTGGTGGTTTGGGTTTTTGTGTTTTGGTTTTTGTTTTTAATTGGTAGGTTGGGGTTTTTTTATGGTTTTGTTTTGGTGGTGCTTATTTTTGTAGAGGTGCTCAAAACTTTAGCATGGTATCCATTGAGGAGTATTTAAGTGGTAGGTAGCAGTGCTTAGAATGCTTGTATTTCTTTTTGACACAGTAGATATATTATGAATTGAAACCTGTAGATTCTGAATATAAGAGAAAGTACCCTGAATTTTCTCTTGTACCAGAATTTTAAGTTTTGTTTGCTGTAATGCTTGCTGAGTTTTTTTCTCAGTTAAAGTGAGCAAGTGGGCATTTATTGATGTAGAAACGTCAGATTGCTGTTTTTTATTGCTTGCCTGGCAGTTACAAGTTTTCAGGCTAGAAAATTACATGGCTTGTCTGTATAGTCTCCCTAAACCCAGAGAGATATGTCCTAGCTAATGGGCAAGGGAAAGATATTAAACATTAATTATAAGGTTTGTTTTTGTGGTTAATGTGATGCTTTTGTTTCCCAAATCTAGCTTCGAGGGTTAAACTTCAGAGCAGTAGGTGTAAGTAGACACTTTCCTCAGTTAAAGTTTGCTCTGCCTGTATTTTGAATATGTGTGTGCACACACAAGCACACACCCCCAAGAGAAATTTGTTTGCCAGCAATAAACACAGGTGTCTTTCTGAATCCCTTTCGAATCTTACATGAAATAGTTGATATTAAACTCTTCCTCCTTCGTGTTTCTGCAAACTTGCTAAATTTCGTTCCTTCCCTCTTGTTGCCCTAAAAAGCTTTCTCTTCAGTTTTATATTGGTGTTGACAACAGAGAGACACAATTTTATGATTTAAGTCACAGCAAACCTCACAAGTTTAGTACCCTATCGTGTTCTGTCCGTACAGGATTTAGGGAAGTTGGTAGTTGTTTGTGTTATGTAGCAGCTGAAGACCTGAGTTGGAGGATTTTTTTTTCCCCAATACTCACGGAAGTGATGTTTTGTATTACAAACAGATGGCGAAGTGTCCCTAAGAGTCGGGAGGAGAGGGCGGCTTCAACTAGTGTGAACAAGCATTTATAACTTTTTATAAATAGAATTCTAACATTACTTTGAGTTTTGCATAAATGTAATTTTAAATGAACACATATTTGGAGCTAAGAGCTCTCCTCTTGACTAAATAACTTTCCCTAGGGAAAAATGCAATCAAAGAGATTTAATATTCAAGCATCAAGTCACAAGATATTTAAATGACTAATTACTGTTTTGATGCACAAAAAAGAATCTTATTTTGCTTCCCTTTCATCTTATCTTTCTCCCATCCTGTTCCTACAAGGAATAAATAGAGAGAATAGTGCATCTTCACTGTTACGATAGAAAACTTCAGTTGAGCAGTGATATTCTGTAGGAATCTTCTGAAGGAAAAACAATGTTGCTAAGTTGACTTGAGTTCTAAAATATGCAGCTGATAGGAGGGATATAGTAACTCTTAAAAGAAGTGACAACTAAGGGCCATAAAGTGATGTTAATTCTGTTAATAAGTAGAGTCTGCCTTGCTTCAGCCATGGCTTCAGTTACGGGTTTTGTGTGGAGGTTGAAGACAAGTAAAAAACTCTTTGGCACACAGCCGGTGGTACTGGAAGTTACCATCTGATCCTGTGTTCTGACAGTTGGTTTAGCTCCCAGGTTTCTGGGGTAAACACCTTGTGGCTGTTGCCAAGTCTGTTGCTAAATCTAAGAAACTAAAAAGTATCAGGAGATGTATGCACGTCAAAAAAACCAAATCCTTAAAAATATGATGACACTTCTTATGTAACATTAAACATCCACTGTGTTGTCTAAAAATCCTGTTTTTGAGCAAAACACATCTTCAAAACTGTAATTTTGAGAACCAGACAATAGACCACTGTTAATAATATAGTAATGCACATTTGGCTAGGAAGTCAATTTAATTGATAACTGCCTGAATAAACAAGTAGGTGGATTGGAGTTGTTTATCCTCTATGAAGGACTTTTTAAAAGGTGTTAATCTGTGTAGTCTGTGGTTTTCTTTTTTTGAGAGGGTGTTGCTGTTTCTTTAACTGGAAATTCAGATTATAGACTGAAAGGAGAACAGCTGGAAAAGCAGAGCAGAGGTAACTTAAGTTGAGGGATAAACACTGAAAAAATAAGACAGACTGAAGCTTTTTGAATGTGTTCATTAACTTATGTTTTGAATACAGAGTATGTGGAGATCTACAGGCATCCTAGATTTGATGGCCTCCAACCAAACTAAGGGAAACTACATTTGTTTTCCTTGCATGCTTTTGCAAAGAAAAGAAATAAGACACACTCTGCATCCCCAGCCTCTAGATTCTTATATGAAAAAATAGGAATGTAGGAGAGGGTTGAGACTTTGTAGATAAGTAAAAAATATATATAAATATATATATCCTTATGGAAAATAACTGAATGTAGTTGGATGGGGTTGTGTTTGGTTTTTTGGGGTTTTTTTTAAAGAGAGTTAAAGAAACAAAGTAATTTGTTTGAAGCACCTCATGTCAACATTATAGGGCGTATTTAAAATGTTGGAAAGTTAGAACTTCTCAGTTGAAGCAGGACCTCAGCAAAGATTAGCGTGTGAGCAGAAATGCTTTTAATTAAGTCCCACAGTATATATCAGAGGTATTAATTATCTAATAGGAAAATATGTCTGTGTTGATGACATTTCCAGAGTTAATAACAATCCTGTGGGTATGGGAATTATCATGGCTGTGAGGAGTTTTTTGTTGGTTTTTTTTTTTTTAGAGTGAGTTTGTTATCCTGATGTAGATGCTGATAGTACCGTAGTTTGCTAAGGTTTTGGGTGTTAGTTTGGATTTTTATCTTGTGCACATTCAAGATTGTATAGGTTAGATACATTTTTCCCCTCAGGTAAACTTTTTAAGATCCCATTGTCTCTGTCCTTGGTGTTGAGGCAGGGGAGAGAGTCCTGTTGCTTTATTGAGTTATTCTTAACTCCCTCTTCCGACTAAGATCCCACTCTGATGGTGAATCGTTGCCCTCACCTTAACGCTGGGGTGGCTGCTTGCTTGTCCTACTACATTTCTACCAGAGTGATTTCAGAGT